ACATCTTTTCCAAATTAATATGAAAACCTATTATTTTTAAGAAAAACTTTTTTTTAGATAAATTTAAAATAATAACTAAAATCTTTTTTTTAAAATAATAACTAGAACCGTTATTTATTTTATTTTATTATTGTTCAATTCAAATTTCATTATCATATTGTATCTGCTCCTCTCATGTAACCTCGCGAACTTAACAATCGCTCTTTAAATTCTGCCTTTAAATTTCTGCTTGCATGGTTTAAATTATGACATTATCTCTCTGTTTGCATGATTCAATTATCTCACGCGTTTACTATTATTTCTGTCACATTGCACACATCCGAAGGTTAGGTCTAACTGTTTGGCCGCCGCGCCAATAGTCCGTAAAACTTCACACATTCAATTTCAAATCCTCAAAACTACAAACTACAAACCCTAATTTTCACAAATGCCTCGCCGCAGGCAAAATTACAATTTTACCCTTAGCATTAGGTCACAGAGCCGCCGCGCTCATTTTAGGGTTTCCCGCCGTGGAATCCCTAATTTAACCCTAATTACAACTTAACATTTCAACGTAGAGATTTGGAGTATCTACACTCCACGTAAGCGTGTCCTTAAGATGCGTTTATTCCCCTTGAGACCTTGACCACAGTCAAGAAGTTTCTAACCTCCCTATTGAGGGGAACTACGATTACTCTGATTCCACTCCCGTAAGGATACGTAGGCACAAGATGCGATGTCTTGCCGAGTAAACTTAGAATTAACCCCCTTTATTATTTATTATTGCTTATTTATATTTTATTTATCTTTGCTATTTAATTATTTTGCTTATTATTTTGTAATTGTTTCTTGGATGTAAAGTTGTTTAATTATTTAATTATTATTATGGTTAGTAATTAGGGAGTGTAACAACATGTATGTAATATTAAAATAAATTTAGATCACTTTTAAATAAAGATAATTAAAATAAACACGTCACACACGTAAGTCGATTTTAATCGCCGTCTCACTTCCTAAGGATATCCCTCAAGTTGCCTACGAATAATGGTTAAGTGGGGTGTATAAAGCAAGTCCCTCAAATAAAAAAAATCATCAAAGTCCCTTATGGTTGCCTTTACGAATCAAGTCCCTTTCGAAAAATGATGATGGTCCCTTATATGTGCTTATTACATCCCACAATGGCCTTCAAAGTCAAATTGTCCCTCACATGTCCCTTAACATCCAAAGTAAGGACTACCTACTCCATTATAGTAGGGATAGTCTTACTAAAGGAAAGAATAAAGAATAAGAAAGACCTTTAAACATTAGGGTAGGTTACTCCTAGGTGCTTGCTCACTTCAAAACTGTTTCACACTTAAACAAATTTTCAACAAGTTTTCAAACAAGTTCTTAACACATCCTTACATGGATTATTTATTAACTATTCTGAAAATTTTCTATTCACACACTACACTTTCAAAACAATTCAAAAGTGAGTTTAAGTACCTAAGAGCCCATGGATAACCATGGATGAAAAGGGTGCTAACACCTTCCCTTTTCATAACCTACCCCCCGGACCCAAAATATTCTCTAAGGTCTTTCCTGTTCTTTTATAACCTTTCCTTATGGATAAAATAAAAGTCGGTGGCGACTCTTGCTATCCGCAACATTGTTTAAAGTCAGTTCTCCCACCGTGTTACACTCGCGCACCCTCCTTCCTCGGTGCAACATCATTAAGTCCTCGTTCCTTCACTCTGGAGCTACGACTTGGGGAGCTTCTGTTCTGGACTGGGCCCAAGCTCGACCGGACAGGCCCAACCCAACGATATTTAGGGAAGGTCCAAATTTCCAATGTCGAGCGTAGGTGCTCCCTTCGACCAGACCGCTTCCCCTGTCGGGCAGAACGCTCCCTCCGTCGGGCAGGATGCTCCCTCCGTCGAGAAGAACAATGTGTCCTTCACACGTTCTCCACGTGCTCCCTCCACGGGGACATGTCATCAGCCAACTATCCACCTCCGAAAAAGCTAGTCAGCCCACCTTCCGGAGATCACAAAACGGTTGAACTAGGGCGAATACCACATGCTGGTCTTTACTACGCCACGTAAGCCCTAGCAGTCACCTGGGATGTGCCTGACAATCCAACCCAATACAAATGACCGTTGGCCTTGCGCTGAGGTCTCTCTATAAATATCATCTTTCACTAGAGGGTCAGGTATTCTCGCCTTAAACCTCTCTTCTGTATTTGTTCCACTCTAGGCCATTACTCACTTTGGCATCGGAGTGTCTTGTAGGTACACCCTCATCCTCTTCCATACCTCCTGTGAACAGGCAGTAGATCAACGACGCGTGGCAGGTCACTGACTCCCTTCTGATCAGGTCAGATCAAAAATAATATATTATAATTAATTATTCTAATAATTTATTCTCCTATTTTTCTCTCTCATTTTTCATTCTTATAAGTGAAAAAAAATTCATTTTAATTTGATAACAATCTAAAATGATTTTACTCTACTAATGTTTATAGTTTTTAGCTTATGACTTTTTATTTCAATTATATCCTTATAATATTTATTATTAAAAATTGATTTTAAGAGATTTAATTTAAGGAGATTTTAAAAAATATTATAGAATATTTTTACTATTTTTCTCTACTTTATTAGACATAATTTTTATTTATTAAATATAAATCATATAATTAATTTAGAAATTGTGTTTATAATTCTCCGATTAGGAGAATCACTGAAATCAACAAAACTAAAAAAAATTCCAAATATTATTACAGTTTTATCGTAAAATATTAAACAATAAACTTATTTTTGTTATTATTTTATATTAATATAACTAAATTCAAAATTACAATGTTATTATTTCACGTATTTTATTAAATTTCATTATAAAATTAGGAAAAAAAATTATATTTTACGAAAGAATGAGTTAATCCGATCAAAATTGTAGTTATTAGTATTACTTTTACTTTTATGTCCTCATAAATGACTTTATAAAATAGTCCTACTTCATGTATGATTTACTGGTTCTTTTATTCATTGAATTTTGTTGTCAATATATTCATACTAAATAACAAAACTCATAAAATTTATATACAAATTTATATATTTTGATGATATCTTCAATTTTTCATATATATTAAAATTATTTTGCATGTTGTTATTAATGAAATCAAATTTTTTTTAATTAAAAATATTCTTTTAGATCATTTTTTAATTATCCACTAATGTAACAACTAATTTACCAAACATTCAAATTAACTTCTCAGCTATTAGTCATCAGATATAAACTATAAATTATCAGCTATCCGTTAGTTCTACTAAACGGAGCCTAATATAAGAATATCACCTTCTCTAATTAAACTAGACGGACAACAAAATTCATAATTTAAAAAGGTGAATTAATGAAATGTCACGAATTCGAATCCGATATTCTTTATATTTTTCATTCCTATACCATGTATTAACTGAACTAATTTAATTTTAATTAGATCCATTACAATTTTAATATTAGGTTGCACACATAATTGGACTAGGGCTTTACTTTTTTCTCCTATTACATTTTCTCTAGAAGTTAGGTGAATCAAATATTTATATGATCGATACTGTCTCTCTCTTTTCGTACTTTAAACCTCAACCATTACCAAACGAATAATAATACACATTCATAAAGTCACTCACCACTACTCTACCTCACTATCCAGCCATCTCCTCACGCCTCCCTTCGCGCCGCCGCTTCTCCGCCGCTCCGTTTTGCTTCAACCGAGGTACTCTCTTTCTCTCTCTAATAATATCTCCGCTTTACGATTTCTGCATTTCAATAACTATTTGCCGAAAACTGAAGAAGAAACGTTGAATAATAATAAAGATGCATGTTGCTCTTATTCACTATTTCACTAACACTGTTGAAAAGTTATGCTCAAGGTTTTAACAAACAGTCCAAATTCCGACCCGTACATGTGTTGCTGACACTGATTTAAGTCGTTGCTGTGTAAATTAACTATATCGGCATCTGCCAATACCGTTTTGTCGCGGCAGTTTTTTAAATTATGTTACCGTTCAGTTTTCTGACTTGTATTGAAAAGGTATTGAGTTTAGATTAATATTGATTTTAGTTTAGAGAATTGTATCAATTGGTAAATTTTATTAATGTTTTACTTGTAAGGTAGTTTATTTTTTTATTTTATTTTTTTGGATAAACTTTCAATTTAGGCTCTAAACTATAGAAATATAACAAGTTGTTTTGAAATTATTATTGATCTAGCAAGTTAGTTCATCAGTTGGTTTTTGAAATGAGAGAGAAGGTTAGTTTGGGGACTAATTTGATGGATTGAAAATAGCTTAAAGACTGTTTGTTATATTTATGTTGGTTCAGAGACCGAATTGGAGAGAGAATGATAGGATAGGGAGAGCGATAGTTTGTTATTCTTCTTTGAAAGTGATGTAGGCACGATCGTCTTTGAGGGTGTGTAAAGCAGGTTACCGCACAAAGCCTAAAATTTGTCATGGTTAAGCCGTGTTTAAATAGGGCTCAGAAAATATTGTCACGGATTAATCGTGGTTAAATAGAGTCTCTGTTTGTGTTGTCATGCTTAAATTGCGGTTAACCTACACAGGGCCTCCAAAAACTTGTGACGGCTCTGGATGTAGGCATGGTTTTAAAATTGAAATTGTTTTGGTTGGGAAGTTGGGATAGCTGAAGTTGCAATAATTGATGTCATCAATGGTGTGGGATCTACGAAGTATGGACACCGGAAACACGACACTGACACATCGACACCAGTAATAATTTGAAAAAATGAATAAATTAAACGTAATCGCAAGTATCGGTTTCAGACACAGACATACCATTTTTCAAAGGTTGGGATGCTATGATGAATTAATTGTTATCATGACCCTCAAGTGCTTAACGTTTCAAGACAAGTACTTGAATATCCTTTGCATTTTTACATCTATGTTTCTTCAGATTTTTTTAATTGATGAGTGTGATGCTGACCGAATGACACAGGTTACTAAGGAATTATTATTTGTGTAGAAATGGCGTCAGCATCATTGGTGGAGTCTCTTGTTCTTCAACTCCATGAGATATCAGCTGTCAAATTCGGCAACTTCAAGCTCAAATCTGGCATCTCTTCACCAATCTACATTGACCTCCGTCTCATTATATCTTATCCTTCTCTCCTCCGGCAAATCTCTGAGACCCTACTTTCCTCTGTCTCATCCACTTCCTTTGAAGTTGTATGTGGTGTCCCTTACACTGCATTACCCATAGCCACATGCGTCTCACTTGCTCAGAACATTCCCATGGTCATGCGTCGTAAGGAAGTCAAAGACTATGGCACTGCTAAAGCCATTGAAGGTGATTTCAAGCCTGGGCAGAGTTGCTTAATCATTGAGGATTTGGTTACCAGTGGAACATCAGTTTTGGAAACAGCTGCGCCGCTACGATCTGTGGGTTTGAAGATCACCGATGCTGTTGTCTTGATTGATAGAGAGCAAGGTGGGAGGGAAAATTTGGAGGAAAATGGTATCAAGTTGCACGCAATTATTAAATTAACTGAAATGGTGAAAATTTTGAGAGATCATGGAAGACTTGATGACGAGATGGTAGGAGTTGTTACAAAATTCTTAGATGAGAATCGGAAGGTTGCAGCTTTGGCAAAGGTTGAGAAGCCAATAACTAAGGTCAAGTCCTTATCATTCGCGGAGAGGGCTAATCTGTCCAAGAACCCAACAGGAAAAAAGTTGTTTGAGATAATGGCTCAGAAGGAGAGTAACCTGTGTTTGGCTGCAGATGTTGGAACAGCCGCTGAATTGCTTGAAATTGCTGAGAAGGTAAGTGATTGTTCTTTTAGTAAAACCTCCCATAATTAAGAGGGAGGAATATACTTTTACTTATTCTTAATCAGTTTTTGGAATTTTGTTTTCTCTCGTATGTTCTTGAAAGAGTCCTGAAATTTATGGCTTGTTATTGTCAACTAGATTGTAAGTGAATATTTGGCCATAACAATTATGTCTTTTTCAACTAATTTGTTTTGTTTTTTCTGATAGGTTGGACCTGAGATATGCTTGCTGAAGACTCATGTGGATATTTTGCCAGATTTTACTCCTGATTTTGGCTCTAAGCTTCTCTCGGTATGTTTCTTAAAGAAACCTATTTTGTTCATGTCTTTTTTTTGCCTTTCATTATTACATTAGAAACTTTTCCTTCCTAATACTATTGACAACTAGTTCATTAGAAGATTTCTTAGTAGTTATTAAAAACAGAAGGATAATTTCATGTCTTTAATCTATGATAAGAGTTTTATATGTGACTATAAATTTGTGTCAAGTTTTAAGGAATCTCCTATGTTTCTGGTTTTTGTGGTGTTTAATGTATGCTTTATTTTATCCTACTGAAGATTGCAGAAAAACACAACTTCTTAATCTTTGAGGATCGAAAGTTTGCTGACATTGGTAACACAGTGACCATGCAATATGAAGGGTAAAGATTTGCTCAACTATCTCAGATTCCTTTTGTTTCTCGTTCCTCATTTGTATCTAAATTCAATATGACATTGTTCTATTTTAATACCTACAGAGGAATCTTTCACATATTGGATTGGGCTCACATAGTAAATGCTCACATAATCTCTGGTCCTGGCATCGTGGATGGACTAAAATTGAAGGTCTGTATAGATAGTCATTTCCTTTATGACGTATAAGATTAAAAACTTGCTATACTCTAATAATTATATTTTTTTTAGTTTAATTCATCGTCTAACATGTTTCTTGAACCATATACTTAGGGTTTGCCTCGTGGCAGGGGACTATTGCTGCTTGCTGAAATGAGTTCAGCTGGCAACCTTGCCAAGGGAGATTATACCGCTGCTGCAGTGAAAATTGCCGAGGAGCATTCTGACTTTGTAATTGGCTTCATCTCTGTCAACCCAGCATCATGGCCAGGGGCACCGATAAATCCTTCTTTCATTCAAGCAACTCCAGGGGTTCAAATGGTGACTGGTGGTGATGGTTTAGGGCAGCAATATAACACTCCACATTCTGTAAGTTTTTTCATGTTGGCATTCATCTTTACATATTTGAGCATACCGATCTTTTGACAAAACGTTTTTTCCAGGTCGTTCATGATAGGGGAAGTGATATTATCATCGTGGGACGAGGCATCATCAAGGCAGCAAATCCTGCCGAGGCAGCTCATGAATACCGTCTACAAGGATGGAAAGCATATTTGGCCAAATCTGCTTGAGATCTGCATTTTGAAGAATAAAAAGATGAGTTGAAATTATGTTTTTGTGTGACAATTAATCTAATTTCAAGATTTTCATCAGTTAGTAACTTATAATGAAGTGGCTTTTTGTGTTTGTTATTTTTCACTGCAGTTCATCAATTTTTTGTTCCATCTTAAAGTTGATGCAAGCTTTCTTTGTTTGCATGTTTAGTTTCCAAGTGATGTTGGGTTGTGGATAGTTTCTCCCTTTTTTAGATTCCAAACATGCTAGATAAACTTCTGTTTCTAAAGGCATTGCTGAGTATTATCATACAAACTGTTTTACCAAAGAAAACTATCATAAAAGCTATTCAAATTTCAAAATACAAAATACAAAATAAAGGAACAGAAATGTGAGTATGATGAACTTTAGTGCACCATGTTTGGCTTTTCTTTAAATTGTTTCATTTTTTTGCTTTTACTTTAAACTGAAAGTGTATATTTTTATTAAAAAATATATATATCGTAAAGATTTGTATGTAAAATAGTGAAATAACTCTTTTGTATTCAATGTGTAGCTGTTCATGTATTAGAGCATATGACTTGTTCATTGGAATGCCCTAAAAAGAATTTCAAGAGGAGTCTCAGAAAATGACTAGAGATAAAAAGAATTTCCAGAGTACTCTCAAAAAAATGACTAAAAATAAAGCACATTGCCTTAGATGAATTTTGTCTTCCTTCGTATCATTTTTTGGGGTTACTTTTTCCATGGGTTGAAGGACCACTATTTAGACATTCGAATTTATCCTTCTCATATTTTACAAGTGCACACAAAAAAAGACATTGTAAGTGAGACACTCTCTCTTTTGTCAATAAAATAGTTTTAAAATGCATCTTTGTATTGGTGAAATGCATTTTTGTAACAATTTCTAGAAACTCATCAAAAGTGTATTTATTCACTGAACTTGTTTATTTCATAATTCAATGCATTTTTGGATTTTTCAAATGGAAAATTGAATAAAACACTATCTTGCATGTTCTTCTTTCTCATGATCAAACTATATTTTTCTCTCAAAACTCTTAATAAAATATCCTTCCATTCTTAATCAATTTTTTCACTCTAAAACATCATTCTTGTGATTTGTAACATCAAAATGAGCAAAAGAGTTTGAAATTCAAAGTAATGTACATGTACTTTCTTCTTCATTACTAGTTTTAATCTATTTTTGTAGAAAGTTGAGTTCTGAGATGTACTTCCGGATTAGGTTGCATGTGTTTTGGATATGCACCTCTATATTGTTCTAAAGTTGAATTTGAATTTTAAATATGTCTTTCTATTATGATTGATCGTAGATATAGTGCGCCTTGACGTTTTTCTCAAAGCTACTATGTATATGGATGTTAACTTGTGTGAAGTGAAGGATGGTGATGAATCGGTTGATGTCAAAGATGGTGTTAAATCAGTTGATTTAAAAGTAGATGTTAAACAAGTTGATGTTGAGGTATATGTTTGTGAACAATTTACAAGTAAAAAGGAGTTTACTATCCGTGAACATACTCCAACGGATTTGTACAGAGGCCGACAAACTGAGTTTGACATTGTAATACGGAGGTCTCATAATGATTCTGATAAAAGATAACCATTTGTAACAATGAGATACGAAAGAAATGGAAAGTACCAACAACCTATTTAAAAGTTGAAACGGGATGATACTGAAATGAGAAAGTGTGAGTGCTCTTTTAAAGTGCGTGGATACCTTATGACAAATAGTACATGAAAATTTAATTTGGTTTTTGGTATACATAATCATAACTTGTGTCACAAGTTGGTCGGTCATCATATTGTACGTTACCTTAATTTCGAGGATAGGTAATTTTTTTCTAACTTGACATTGAACATGGTGCAGTCCAAAAACATGCTTGCAACTTTGAAACGAAAAAAATCTCAAAATGTCTCAAATATCAAGCAAATATATAATGTTTGTGTTGTAAACGACAAGGCAATAAGATGACCAAGAACTGAAATGCAACAATTGTTAAAGCTTCTGGATGATGATCTCTATGTTTCTAGGTACAAAGTGTGTGAGGATAAAGTCATTTTTCGAGATATATTTTGGACTCATCCTAATTCTATCAAGTTCTTCAACACATCTTGCATTGTACTCATAATTTACTCAACATACAACACCAACAAGTATAGACTTTCAATTCTGGATTTTTTTGGTGTTACTTCGTCATAGATGACTTTTTTCAGTGAGTTTTTCATTTTTGGAAAGCGAAAAGGAGGCCAATGTCACATGAGATTTGAAAGTGTGCAAGACTATGTTGAAGGAGCAAGAAAACATGCCAAAGATCATTGTAACTGATTGCGATACTACACTGATGAATTTGGTTGCAAATGTGTTTCCTAAAACCATCCTATGCATTATTTTGTAGGTATCACATAACCAAAAATGTGAGAAACAAACTTTAACATGCGGTAGAGACCAAACAAATCAAGGGTGAAGATGGAAAAATGATCAAAGCTAGTCTAACATTCAGTAGAGACCAAACAAATCAAGGGTGAAGATGAAATATCTAGATTCCTTGAAATGTGTTGAGATTACATTTCTAGACCAGGTGAAGGAGAAGATTGTTTATGCTTGGATCAATCAATTTAGACAATTTAGAAATATAACAACTAACATAGCTGAATATGCACATGCTACACTAAAGAATTGGTTGAAAAACAGTAAAGGTGATTTTTGTAAAGGTTGAAAATTTGTGAACCAAATGATCTAAAATCAATATAATGAGATACACATATCTTTTGGTCAAAGCATTATTGTATTAGAACACTAATTCAAAGACAACATTGTTTATTCATAGTTGATTGATAACATATCTCAGAAGGGATTGAATCTTATCTATCACGAAGCCAAACAAGCAGAGAAAATAAGGTCAGATAGTTCAACGTGTGGTTGTACACTTAGGAAAATGTACGGTCTTTCATATGCTTGTTTAATTGCAAAGAAAATGAAATTTGCTAGACAGATATGTATGGATGAGATTTAGTCACTAGAAAAGACTTTGGTTAGATGATAACAGTGTGATAAAGGATAATAAATCAAATATATATATATATCATGATCGAATGAAAAGTGATCCAAGAAATATTTACGAAACCTGGTGACAACATGAAATTTCACATCAAAGAGTAGTTGAGAAATATCGTGTATCCAAAATCCACGAATTTGAAATCATCATCGAAACCGATTAAAATAAAAGACCCCCTTAAAACAATCAAACCGACACTGAGTGACAATTCTACGTAGCAGTCTCCTTCCTACTTTGAACATGATGACTCACATTTTTCAAATTCTCGAACTCCTAAATCTCAAAAAAAGTGTTTTCACTGGTTCGCATTTGCAAATTTTCTCCCTCGCCACCGTTACTAAAAAATATCCACATTAAAGTGATATCGTTTTTATGTACAAATATATTGAGCAGATTGTAGATATAAAGGGTGATGGTAATTATGATTATCGAGTTGTTTCGGCTTTGCTTGATAAAGGAGAATAGAATCACACAGTTGTCCGCCAACAACTTCTCAAAGAGTTGAAAGCGCATAGAGAATCATACACATCGCAATACAGGAAAAAGAACATTTCAGTGCAAGTCACAATGCTCTTATTCCTTGTGTTTGCAGTCTGGAACATGTATGCTTCACTAAAATGAGTCATCTTATAGTAAGCGCATATAATAGGGTGTGTATTGATCTGACAAGATATGGTTTCTCAGAAACATTTTTTTCCACTTCGGAGTAACCCACCTCAAAGTCCATCTGGACACATCATGTGTATTTGGTGGCTTTCACTATCATTACATTTTGTTCAATTTTATTTAAAATCGGGGTGTCATATACTAAAGACATCAATGGAGTGGATGAAACATTCCATTAAAGAGTCTAAAACTTGGTCGGAACACTTTCTGAAAAAGATGAAAGAATTCACCAAGTTGAGAGAGATTGAAAGAGAATCAAATTAGGAAAAGTCAAAGGTGGAATCACCCATAAAAATATATGTCGATGGTGACATATGTTTTGATGCTTTTTAATTTTTATCTAATTACGTAATTAGGTGGTGACTCGTTTTTTGTATGTATTGTTGTCAACGATGTAATATTGATATAATTTGACACATGTAATGTATATTCAACATTAATTGTATAATAATTTGGGGTCACTTTCAAAAGAAAAAAAAAATATATTTCAAACTATTAATAACTTTGTCTCTGCATATAACAGGTTTTGTATGAATAGTGGGTCTGTAGGGCGATTCCAGAGATGCACTTATGAACTCACCCCCATTTTAATTGCAAATATTATTAAATATGAGATGATTCGAAAATGCATCTCCATGAAAACCCTTATTTTGGAGAAAAAAAATAAGGTGGGTCCGAAAATGCATATCTAAAACATCCTCTGAGACAAGGTAGGGTTTCTAAGACCCATAATGATATAAAATTTGTATAAATATGGGGTCTCTCATCTCATGTTGTTTACGAAAACAGACCACACCAGAATGAAGAAGTATTGTCATCTTGCATTTGTGTAATTCAAGTGCAAAAATCTCGCACTTCAATTTAGGATCACTGAGGACACACCTTTCGTTGATCTAAAATTCAAACTGGATAATCTCTTGCAATATTCATACAATTGAGGAGTTGTCAAGTTCGAGTGTTGCTCACTCTCGGTTGACGACGAATGAAAGATACAGTTCAACAAGTTTGAGTTGAAGATAGATGAAGATTTAAACGTTATGTGGAGTACATTTTACCGTTACACAACAAAGAGTCTGATGAAGTGGATGCAACGATTGTAAAATCGACTGAAAATATTCTAAAGATGTTAAAATGTCTTGAATCATCCGTTAGTAATGAAATGTAATGTTAAAATTTATGTTAACGATTATATATGTAATATTAAGAGTGTAAAGTTTAGTAGATCCAACTTATGTCACTTGTTAGGAGTGTAAAGTTTAATAGATACAACTTATGTCACTTCTCTGAAGCGTAAAATGTGATTTGTGTCACTCACTCCTCCTGGTCTGGTGACATACCAGGAAACACTCTTAAAGAGGACCACAACTTTGAGTTTAAGTTTGAATGTTTTTGGACCCTCTTCCTTTGTAATGCAAGCCAAAAACCAGATACAACTATATCCAAGTTCCAATTGGTAGCATGAAGTGTGAGTTAAGTAATTGCTCCATAGATTCAGACAGAAAAAAGAGAAGAACACACAAACATACACTAAGGTTCTACATCTATTTTAAATAATATATCATAATGTCACACTACAACTTTCTATCCATCATGTATTGGATGTTAAAGTAAGCAAAGAGATGTTGCCTTCTTAAATTACAAAACACAATACATGACCACAAGACTCGTACTACTACAAGACATAGGTGCACTACAAACTATTCTGTTTAATATAATTACTACATAAACATGAATACAGCAAAACTACAATCATTGTTCTTTCCAAATCCTTCCGGTTACTCGAAGTTTCAATTCCTTCCTGTCACCGCCGGAGAAGAACAGAGCCATGTTCCTCTGAATGATGAGACCGTCAAAACTGTCGCGAACCTTGCGGTGACTATCCCGAATGGTTCTAGGCACTCCTTGCCATGTCATCTTCCTTCCATTTCCGCCTACCTCGAGACTGTAGGTATAGTTCTTTGCGTCATTATCATCGCCCATAAACCGCAAAAATGCTATGTAGACCGGAGCCATTCCAAGTTGAAAAGCTTCGAAATGTAGACAGAAATACTGACCGAAGCAACTAAAAACCTAGAAACAAAGGTGAGCCCCAGAAATCAGCTAACTCACGTACATAGTTTACATGAGAAATATCAAAACTCAACTTTGAAATGTTCTACTACTAATATATGATCACTTTTCTTGTTTAAGCTATCACGAAAAGCCGAAAAAAGTTACAAGGGAGATTAGTTTACTTCAACTATTTTATTCTGGTAAACTGATCTGAAGCACTGACACAGATATAGACACTGAACACAACATTGACACGATGGCACTGACAAAAATTTGAAGAAAATTAAGAAGTCAACGTAAACACATGTGTTGGTGTTGTGTTGGACACTCGCACGTCACATACCAGACATGCCTTCAATATTAAGAATCACAATATTAATATAGCAGATGAAGTCACACGCATGTACAAATCAATGAAATGCAAGGAGAACAAAGTTAAGCAAAACAATACCGTTAACATCCAAGTGGCATTTTCAACTTCTTGTGGATTTGATTTGACGTATCGATGATTAAAAGTGCAACCACTATGCATATCCACTTTGTGATCATCTTTAAGATGTGCCACCAAGAACCGTATATCACCCACGACAGCACATTCCGAACCAGCATATGGACAATTATAAGGTCTAAATGCGCATTGAGACTCGTGTTTTAGCTTGCTGTAATAAGGGTATATGCCTATGCACCCAAAACCTTGATATTTACAAGGAAGTTCTAAAGACGCAGCCACCTTCTCCAATGCCAAACATCTAATATTTCCAAGCTCGTGCCGACAAGTCGGGCACCGGTCATGGACTCTTGGTTTGCAACCAGAGCATAAAGTGTGACCGTTTGAGCACTGCAATAAAGATCAACAATATGTTAGTCTATAGGTTATTTGGAAGAGAGAGACCCAAGGCTCTCGAGTTTCTTGAAAATTCATTGTGTAATCGTATATTATCATCAATAAAAGTCACATATTACTATCAATCTTTCTGTTTGGTACCGGTTTCTATCACAACAAAGCAAAAGCTGTTAACAAATTCACAAATAAAGACGTACTATCAATCATCTCAGCATATGTCAGTGACATGACATGTCGGAAAATTACAATGAAGCATCAAAATAGAAAACAACCTGGTGGATTGGAGGGTACATAGCATTCAAGCACACGGGGCACTCTAAAAGCTCACGAACACTACTCGAAACAGTTCCATTAGGTTTAACAACAGTCTGTATAGAATCACTTATGAGTTCGGGAATTTCTGTCGACTCTTCAGTTTGAGGAGGATCAACCCCTGATCTGCTCCGTATATCATCAAAGAATGGATTACTAGACGCCATACTTGCACGTCCAAACACCAGCAAACCCTTCATATCATCAAAGGATTGCATCAGCATTACAATCAATCAGAAATAAAATTTGATAAAAAAAACATATTTCTCATTACAATATTAGTCTTCCGAGCCAAATTTGGTTTTGGAGCACATTTAACAGTTTATCAAGTTGTAATCTATAACCGTCATCAGACAAAAGTTACGCAAACAACGGCAACCAAGTCTTATCCAACTAAGTAGGGTCAGCTACCTGAATCAAACTACGCCATAAGATTCTACGAAATGACAAAAGTTGCACAAGCAAACAAAAGAAAGCCAATGAAAGTCAACAACAACCATCATTCAAATAACATTCATTCGGTTAATTTCCACAGTTCATTTTTATAGCACTATTTATAGCCAAAACAGTTATCAACTAGCTATGCTTATTCCTCAAAATGTAACCACCCTAAACACAAGAAAAAAACAGTGTTTTGCCATTATAAGATAACACTTTTTCAAATACTAATTAATGCTCTACCTAACATAAAATGATTCACATTTTCAACACTGAAAAAGACAACAATCTTTATTTCAAACAAGTCACGAGTCATGATCGTAACAATTATTGTGTTAGCCTTCCCTAATGAGAGCAGGTAGCCTAAACAAACTACCTCTAAGGAATTAAAACCACATAATCTCTTTAATCAGACAAATGAATGAAGGACAAGACACCCAACAACCATAAATTAATAAGACAAGAAAGTAATGTAAAACCAATATCCCAAAAACAAAACCAAAGATCGAACATATGAGACTTCCGAATCATCCTTCGGTTGTTTCACCTTCAGTTAACTTGATTACTAAAAAAAATAGTAAAAAAGTAAAAGGACTAAAAATATAAACAGATTCACCAACACAGTTCAACAAACTGGGCCAAAACCAAAATCAAACCAGCCGACGAACTAGCTTGTTTCTGGTTCAACCAGTTGAACCGGCCGATTCGGTTCAACCCGGTTTTTAAAGCATCAGAGTAAAACATTGTCAAATTTCTCATACAACTTGGCAAGTCCCACAACCACGATCAAACCAACCGAGGAAACTAGCTTGTTTCTGGTTCAACTAGTTGAACCAGCAAATTCGGTTCAACCCAAATTTTAACACATTGAGTAAAACATTGTCAAAATTCTCATACAACTTGAAAATGTTGTATGGCTACTCATATAAAACCCCCCACACAAATCATGCCAAAAACACTTATTTAAACATCAAGTACAAAATAAAGTATAAACACATGAACAAGACCAATGAACAAACCACATTCACATGATAATCCAAAACACACATTCTTTACTTTTGACAAATTTGCATGCCCTTTTTGGTTATGAAGCAGAACAAGCAAAGTGTTAACAACAAACTATTCTATAAAACATTCAAAAACCCTAACCTTAAAAACATCAAACAGATCTGCCAACAACATTCATAAACCAAAACACAAACCCAAAAGGGAAATAAATAAAAAATGGTCATAAAAATTGAAACTTTAAACACCCCATCAATGAAAAACTTCACGAGGGAGTAAAAAAATCAAAACCCAGAAACAAAAAACATTGAAATAAACAAGAGAAAGAGTTGAAGGGAAAGAAGAGACCAAAAAAAAAATAGAAAACCTGTAATGTAATGATGTACGATGAAAAGTGGATTTGAGAGAGAATGAAGGTGATGAAAATTGAAATGATGAGAAATTTTGGTGGGTGAGTGAGGGCGTGTAATGTGAGATAGATATGATGATGATAATTACTGTTGTTAACAATAAATAAGAGAGTTGAAACAATCACTGAGTGCGCGTCTGCGAGTAGAAACAAAGAATTCAAACAAGAGTGAGAGAGTACCAAAGAAGAGAGAGATAGAGAGAGATTTTTCTCGAGAAAATACAAATGAGAAAGGGTTCCAAAAGTAGGGTCCATAATCATATTTTAATTTAAAAATATATATAATTTGACTTTTTTTATTTTAGACAAATTAATTGTATTGATAAGGATATATTTTTAAAAAATAATAATTTTGTAAGTATTATACCAAAAGATAAGAATTTTTTATTCAAATAACTCACATTTAAAAAAATTCAAAATAATTTACTTTTTAAATTATTTTTCAAAATATCTACTTTGAGGATGATAACAAGTTTTGCTACCAAATCAATTGGCGAAAACTCTCTAGCCTTAAAAGGAGACGTCAATTAGATTGGAGACACCATATGTTATCTCTAATCTAATTGACGATAATGTGTTAAATTTTAAATGTGGTCTTAATTGGTTTGGTGGCAGTGTATGTTGTGTTATTTTTAGTATAAATAGAGGTGGTGCGATCATTGTTTTCACATCTGTTATCATATTCTTGTATTAGTGTAACATGTATCGTCGTCGCTATGAGAAAATGATTTATTCGAGTGACAAGCCTGTGATGGAGATACTCTTCGAGAACATCAAAAGTTTCAAACAACTACAAAGGGAGTTGATTTGTTGGTTAGACATAGACATACCTGAAGGTGAAAAAATTAGAAGTATCGAGAAACACGATACCCTTCGTAGGTGGGTGCGAGTTAAGACTGACAAGGATGCGAGGAAAGTGATGTTTGGGTCAAATGATATCAGTTTGATTGTTGTAATCAGTTAGAAATGTTGTGTTTAAATATTGTGGTTAAGTATTTTTATTTGTTTTGATATCTATTATATATGTTGTTTATTTAGAGTTATTGTTCATTTTGTGACATCTGGTTTATTGTTAGAAAGTGTTGTTGTTTTTAAGTGTGTTTAAGTCAGAGTGATGTTTGTTGTTAACATTGTTGTAACAAAAAGTTATTCATATATTAAAATCTAATGTTACAAAAATTGAAAGGAGAAAATAAGTTATGATGCAGAGGTTGCTCCGACAATGAAACAATTTTTTCGATTGTGTTCGGGCTGATGACATATACTACATAATCTTATCATTTTATCAGTTGTATCCATTTATGTTCTTATACGCATGTTGTTTGCGCGATCTTTTTTATTTATTAGCATCTCATCGTTGTGTCAAACTATGTTCCCATAATATGGAGGCCAATATTCCTCCATTGCTAGCACTGTGAAGCCTTTGTTGTAGACATTTATAACGTTAATGGTCTTGTAAACATCGAATAGATGGTTATAAGCGTCTTGACGAGCATGCGTGCATGCCGCAATGATATGGGAGCAAGGTATACAGAAGGCCTGATACTTGCCACAGTCACACCAATATCTATTTAGTTTGACAGCATAGGATAAATTTGGCATCCCCTCGTTGTGATCTATTGTTTCCTGTACACTGAAAGTTTTCCTATAATGATTAAAGATTGTAGTCACGTGTGTACTAGGTTTGATAGTTTCCTCTTTCATCACTTTCATGCAGTATTCACTGAATAATTGACTCGACATTAGCACTGCACTCCATCTTTCGCCTCTTATTGCAAAAAGTGATGCCAACCTAAAATAGGTTGATCTCACCAATATGGTGATTGGTAGGTTTTTAATGCCTTTGAAGACGCCGTTCATGGATTTCACAAGGTTTATTGTCATGTGGCCCCATCGACATCCTCTGTCAAATGCCCTTGTCCAATTCTCCAATGGAATGTTATCCAGCCACCTTCTTGCATCTACATTTGACAATATAATTTTGTCACGGTAGTGGCAAAATGATTGTTGAGTTAGAGCATACCATGCATTCACCACTTTTTTGCAAAGGCTCTTGTCTTTGATTGCACGCATGAAGTTTTGTGTGATATGTCTAATGCAATAGACATGGGTAGAAGGAGGATTGTGTCATCTGTTATCATGGTTATTGTAAGCACTCTCAATAACAGCATGTCAGTCTGAAATCAAACAATGATTGGCTTGTGGAGCCACATGTGTTATGAGATTCCTAAGGAAGAAACTCCAACCAGCAGCACTCTCACCTTCAACCAGAGCAAAGGCAATGGAAAATACATTATTATTATCGTCTTGTACAACTGACATCAGCAAGGTGCCCTTGTATTTTCCGTGTAGCCATGTTCCATCAATTTGAACAATAGGTTTGCAAAAGGAAAAATCTTTGATGCATGATTGAAACGCCCAAATGAGTCAGTGAAATATTGCATTTCCACCAACACAAGTTCCGTCTGGCGTACATGCCGGCAATGCCTGCATAATTGCAACAACCCCTAGTGCGTATATCTTAAATGCCTCCCAGTTTCCAAATACTTGTTTAATTGCCTTTGTCCTTGCAATCCACACTTTCTTGTACGAGGGAGTATAATTATATTGCGTAATGATATGAGAAATTATTATACTCACCTTCACTGATGGGTCCTTGTTAACAAGCGGAAAAATGTCTTGACATATTAATTCAACGCTTAATTTTCGGTGATTCTGTACAATATTAGTGGCAGTGCAATTGTGAGGTGGCTCTATAGAAGCTATCTTCCAAGAATAATTTCTCTTCCTGTGAGACGCAGCCAGCAAAAACTTGCAAAGATTATTACGACAACGAATGATATACCTTCTCGAATCAGTTCGATCTATGGTAAAATAAACAGTTATCCATGTGATATTATTTAATAGCTCGCACACATTCTTCCTTGGTCTGGAACTTGTCTCCCACTTTTAATTCATCCTCTGACCGCATATACGGGTTGTAAAATATATCTGAGGATCTCTCATTCTCATGTAAGTCCAAGTTTGTCATATGTTGAGGCAGACAATATACATGACTTGGAGGTAATGGCACTTGATGATCGTCATCATCAGCGGTGTTGTTTAACAGATGATCGACCTATGTCTCGCTTTCTTCTTCTTTCCCGTCAATGACGTCGACTTTCTCTTCGGCTTCATTTGAGTCTACACCTTTAGTTTTATCTGAATCTGCACGTTCTGATTAATCGGTTATTTGAGATTGTTGAGATGGAAGAGTTTGTTAGAGTAAAGTATACAACTCAATATAGTTGAAAGCATAATGTTCGTGACTAACGA